GTCTTTATTATTTCAAAAAATTATAATATAGTGTAATATAGTGCTGTAAGGCTCTCAGGCATTCTGTATTGCTGTCAAATATGTTTCTCCTGTTTTATTTCATCCCTGCTGAGTCAACACACATGCAGGCATGACTGAAGTAACCTAAAGTATTTAAATGTGCACGTTGCACCTTTTTACCTCAATGATAAATTCAGTTTTAATTCAGTTGATATCCTCTGCACATTAATAGCTCCTATGTTTCAGCAGCTTTTCTGCTCATTTTCAGAACTTTCTGTAATTACCATCCCTTCCTCCCCAAAAAATCTCTCCAGAATCTACAAATTAATATCACAATCAGACAAGACAATATCCATGGCATCAACAAAATGGGAGATAGACCTTTCTATCACCCCTGATGCTGACTTCTGGAGCCGAATTTGCAAAAACATCTATTTTATGACAAAGAATGCTAACCTACAACTCATAAAATTTAAGGTACTCCACAGAATTCATTACACCGGGCAAAGATTGTTTAAAATGGGATTCACATCCAAAACTTGTTCACATTGCTCACAAAATAACCCTGATAACTATATTCACGCCACCTGGAACTGCACAACAATTAAACTATATTGGAAAGAAATCACTACATCATTATCCCTTTTCCTGGGTTTCCATATCCCACCTCCTCTCTGTTTACTAGGTGATATATCAACAATTAATCCTTTATTCTCCAGACCAAATATTCTATATTTTACACGTCAAATAAACATTTGCACATGATTGCACAGTCAAGTTGTCCACAGTCAAAACTGCCCCCCTCCTCTGAGAGCAGTTTAGAAAGTGGACATGGGCACTTTGGGCTGGCTCCCTCCCTAAAGGGTCTGGGAGCAACCCAAAATAGGACCAGCATCAGACAAAATTAAACAAACAAACAAACCAACAATCCTTTAAAAGACAAATAGAGTAAAATAGCAAAAAATTCTAAATATAAAGGTGTGCTGACCCGGCGTGCCCGACCCCTTTCTGTCCCGCTCCACTGCCCCGGGCGGCACCCTCGCTTTACCTTACTGACAGGGCCTGAGGCCGGGGGGCAGCTGACTCAAATACTACTTACATTGTCTCTTGCAGTGATGGTGGCGGCAGCACTATTCCAATACTTTTGTGACTTTTTGTTTGTATTATTATTAATAACCCGTACTTATTGGTTGTTATTGTCATTGCTATTGCTATCATAGTTTTTCTTTTCTTTTCTCTTCGCTTGTAGGCCCCCGCCAGCCTCTTAGCCGATCTCTATTACCTATCCAGTAGGCACCCCCCTTCCCTGACAACATGGGAGGGATGAATATACACATGCAAGTACACACAAGATTAAGTAATTTTGTTGCTGCTGTTGTTACTGTCATGTACATGTTTTGTTTTTGTTTACTTTGTCATCTCTCTCTTCTTGTTCCCATTGTGTTGTCATGTCTGTGTTGTGTATTTTATCTTGCAATAAAAATAAATAAATAAACAAATACAATTTGTTTTTTTAAAGTATCAAGACTGCTGACTTTTTCATTCATTACACTGATGTGATTCCTGAGAAGAGATTACAAACAGAAACAGATGCTGATGACTGAATCTGAGGCTGAGTTTCTGGCTCACAACCAGAGAGTGACAGAGGCTGGCAGGACAACAGCGCCAACGGGAGGTCACACCTGTAACTGGACGTGACATCACCTCTGCAGGAGAAGAACAGAATATTTTTTTATCTTTTTTTTATCATTTATCATTTTCAGGATCTGCTGATTATTTTCTTGATGACAGATATTGCCGCTTTCCAGCTTCAAGACACGTTCTTCTGCTGTTCTCTGCTCCCATGCTGTCTCCCCTACATTCCTACCCTGTCCTACTTTCCTCTCCTCTCCAACAACAACTATAAACACATGAATCGTGAAACGTTACTTAATTAGACTAATTGCCAGACAGAAACATGCATTTTTGTTGATTAGTTGAAATTCTTCAGGCGGCTGCCGCCAAGCGCGTGTTAATAACCTGCAGTAGCTTCACCATTAGCTGCGGTACCCTGCGTAGTGCAGGCACAGGACCCTTGAAGGATTAAAGGAGAGCCGTGGCCACCGCCAGGCAGAGGAGGAGGCGAGTGACAGCGGAGCAGAGTGACAAAGTGACAGGGCCAAGGGGGACTACAGATTAAACGGTTCCTTAAATAGTTCTGTTTATTCGATTAACCCTCCTATTGTGTTTGTTCCTTGTATCCTATTAAAGGTGTTCCTGACAAAAATTAGCCGTTCTGTTTAACTGTTAAATCAAATAAAGCATGAATTATCACCACACGGTGTGTGACATCTTTTACCCAACTTTATGTCTCGTCATCATTACAAGTTCTGCACTTATGTTTTGAATTTATAGTATTTTTTTTCTATCTGCTGGTTGAATATAATATACTGTAGTCTCACACATTAATTTCCTAAGACCGGTCTTTTTTAACTGGGAACGCCAGAGACAGTTAAAGTTTGAATAAAACCATTAAAAATCAATGAAAGTGGCCATCACTAATTTTATAGAATCAAATACCCAGTGTGGAGAATACATGATGCCTCCTATCAATCAGATGAAATATACCATATTGATTTTTTATTTAGTTTGCCCATTGCACAATAGGAAGCTACCCTTGTTGCTGTGTATAGACACATGAACATAAGCTGTCTCTCATTCACACTCACATATGGAGTAATACTCACCAGCAGCTCTGGTCAGAGCCATCATGGCACAAAGAAGTGCAGACAGAGTCAGCGTCTTCATGGTGGAGATGATGCAGATGTTGAAGATGATGATTACCTTTAATAAAGACAGACAGGGACATGTTAGTAACACTTCTCTAGGGAAGAGACCACCTGTAGTGGCAGTCAGGTCAATATATAATGACAGTTTGTGAGCAAACCTGCTGCAGAACGATCTTCTCTTCTTCCTTCTCAGCGTCTGTAGCTTCAGTCGTCCTGAACCAGAGAAACATCAGCTCTTATATACAGTTAATGACACATCTTACCAGGAACTGAGGAAGAAGATACTTATCTTTCCATCTCTCACAAAACCAGGAACTAAAGACAAAACACACATCCAAAATACACATTTACAGGCAACATTTGAGATCATCAAATGACAAATTTGACATGTCTGTGTAGGATGAATAAATGTCTAAATGATTCAAAGACTAATGGACCAGGTACTTTATGGATTGTCTGAGTTTTCTTGTGCATACCTTGATGATATTGTCATCTACAGCACAACTTGGGAGGAACATTTGGAGCATCTCAAAGTGGTCTTCGACTGCATACATTCTGCCGGCTTGACAATCAATCAAGCCAAATGTGTCCTGGCCAAGAAGGAATGGAGTACCTGGGTTTCACCGTTGGAGGTGGGTTAATTAAACCTCAGGTTCAAAAGATCCATGCAATTGAGTCATGTCCTCTCCCGCAGACAAGGAAGCAGCTAAGATCTTTCCTGGGGATGGCTGGCCTCTACCATCAGTTCATCCCCAACTTCTCAGCCAGGGCTGCTCTACTAACGGTGTTATGTAAACTGAGATTCAGGAACAGGAGCTCATTCTATTCCTCCAATCAACCATTCGTGCTTCACTCATTTCATCCACCTGTGCCTCTCTAATCCAATCACACGCACTCACGTATATAAGCCTGTCTAAACTGTTTTCACTCCCAGTTCTCACATCCCTCCCACCCAAACCCTGTTTTGTTTATTTCACCTCTTTTAATGGGCAGCACTGCGGCCTCACAGCAAGAAGGTTCTGGGTTTACACCTCGCTCAGCCCAGGCCTTTCTGTGCGGAGTTTGCACATTCTCCCCGTGTTTGAGTGGGTTTCCCCCAGGCACTCCATAAAAGACATGCACGCTAAAATCCATAATTCTGCCAAGTAATCATTTTGTCTTTTTCTACAAGGAAACTCCTCCCCATAGAGGTCCGCTATTCAGTGAGGGGGGCATGGCCACACAGCCATCATGCACTTACACTTACTCAGTTACACTTCCTTAGTTTATGCCATTATTTTTCCTTAGGATTGGTTTCTATACTTTTTCCAGACACATTATACATACACTTGTGGCAAACATTTATTTAGGAACAAATACAGGACACTTTGTTTGCTTTGTTTCACATACATTATACTTTATTTAGTTGACCATACAAAGGTATCTTTTTGGAGCATGCAAAATTAGTTACTTTTGGATTGTCTTTCTGTTTTTATAACTACTTTATTTTGAGCTTCCCAGTGTTGGGGATTCCACACCCTGGAAGGATTCATGTAGTCTGCTGGTTTAAAGGGGTGGCGCCTGGAGCAGGAGCTGATTTACAGGGGAGTTGGCCCAATTGGACGCTACCACTGCTTGTTATGTCCAGGGTTTTAGCTTCATTCTCTGCTAGATATTTATGAGTGTTGATTTATATTATATGAAGTATTTTTGTTTGGTTAATGTTAAGTAAGATTAAATTTCTTGTGGATTAAGTGTTGTTTAGTTGGTTTTGCTGTTATTTGTTGTTTATGTAGTAGTATTATTGTTATGCCATTTTTCCATTACCAGTACCAACTCAACCCGCCTCAACTCAACTTAACTCGGTTTTGGCCCGCCATCCTCCGTTTTCCATTGCAGATGGTACCCAGAGATAGTAATGTGGGATAGGAATACAAAAAGCCTTTGGTCTATTAGATGAAATATACCTTCATTATTTGTTTATTTATTTTGTCCATAAAATAATTGGAGGGTTAAACTGAACCAAATGCTGTCAGACACTTTTGGAAATTATAAATATTAAGATCCATTAGAGGTTTGAATCACATCACTCTTGTACCATCTCTCATTAAGTTATATTAGATGGACATTTTCTCTAGGTGCTCCCAACAGTTATAATGTTCAGTATTATTTAACAGTATTATGACATGATGAAGCTCTTTGAGATCCAGGAAGATTGTACCCAAACAAACAGGAGATATAACACAGACCAGCTTGTTTCAATGCTTCTTGAGACTTTTAATTTTGCCTAAGAGAAGAAAGAACAGTTCACTCTGCAGAATAAAGTTGTGCTAAAAGCTTTCTTTTCATTACACATTCAGTCTGCTCGTATTAAAGAGACGCTTTGTCGCTTTATCCTTAAAGGGGCTATATGTAGTTTATACTTTATAAACAAAAGCAGGCGGGCTAACACTAATGTATCATGTTGGCTAAATGCATAAATGTAATGTCATCATGCAACGAACATGGATTAGTTAAACCTCAAGCTGATAACAATATTATTGTAAAGTTGCAGTGGGAGTTGCCTGAGTTTCCAACATGTTGTGTGAAGCTGTCTCCCGGTGAGTATGTCTATATGTCTATATCGTCTTTTTTTATATGGAGTATTGTGCCAATATGCCGGTTTGGTATCTGTAAAAAGCCAAAGCCTGCATGCTGGTGTTTCCGTGTTTATTGTGGGAGCTCTGTAAGAAAGCGATTGTGTTTCAGAATATTCTCGCTCGTGAGTTCAAGTGAGCACCCGTATGAGCACACACCTGGTTGCAATCTTAAAACAGACCGGTGGTGGCCGCTCGCTGAAAACTACATAATTCCCCTTTAAGTGGCGTTACAGAAATAGAAAAGAAGAAAAGATGTGAAATGAAATACAGAGCCTTCAGGTTAAATATGAAACTGTAGGCGTAAAGAGAGACGAGTTTCCTCGTAGACACGCAAACAAAAAATTGATCAGTGTTTGTGCGTTTGACAGGTACTTCACGCTTTTAACTGACATTTCTGACACAGACAGATGGGAGGTGAACATCACATTGCCGGTCGTCCCAGCATTTCTGATCTGTAAGAACCAAAAACACAGCAGTCAGAAAGCAAACCTGAAACTGTTGAATGAATCATCATTATGTAGACAGATCATTCATCCTGGCATATGTTGTCCGTTTGAACATCATCACTCTCACACTTGGAGGCAGATTAGTTAGTTACTTTACAAATTAAGATTTTTACTTGCAAAACATGAAAAGTTAAAATATAAATATAAAAAAGAGTGATGTTTTGTTATGAACGCACCACCAGTTTATAAAAATAAAGCTGTAGCAAGTAGTCAAATGACAAAAAATTAATTAGCGACTATTTTAATGGTTGAAGTCATTTTCATGTAAATTATGATTTCAGGGTTTGCTGCTTTTCCTTTGAATAATTTTATTTTTTGTTGTCATTAACGTAGAGGTGTGGACTGAATCAAAATTTATTGATCCCAGAGGAGAAATTCTTGTGTCACAGTTGCTCACATTGCACATCAAAGTATAAAGTAATAGAAATAATATATATTGACTATAAAGAAGTATACAAATAAAGAATACATTTAAATAAATATATAAGTGTGTGGAAAATGTACAGTATTTTAAAGCCAGGTAAATGACGGAAGTGTAATAAATAATATATATAGTACTAATAATGAATACAGATTGTGATGAGGGGAATGTATTAAAAATCCTTAAATCTTGCGCATTAGTTGTGAAGGTGTCCCTTTGGGCTGTGGGTAATTGTGACGACGTTTCTTATTATTTTCAGATCTTTTACAAACAATCAGTCAATTGAGAAAATAATTAACAGATTAATCCATAGTAAAAATTATCATTATTTGCAGTCTGATGCAAAAAAAGTTCAAAATTTACTCCAACTTAACAGTTACAGCAGCATTTAGGTTTACATTTAGCTATGAGAAATGATAATGTAATGAATATATAATAGTACAACAGTCCCATGCGACATTTTACTTTTATTACTAAGTACATTTTCCTAATTACATACTTTAAGTATGCCTATATTTTCCAGATTATACTTACATACTTTTTAAGTAAAATAATGTTATAATTTACCTGAATAATTCATTTGCAGACAGTGCTGAAGATAGTAGGCGCTAGGCTCTCCAGGACACCAGTGAGTAAAGCCAAAATGTGTCCCGTCAATCCATAACCAGTATCCCTCCTTGAATAAAGAGGAGAATATTGTATGTTTAAAAGAGTCAAGACAATTATTCCTTGATTAACCTGTTGCACATGTAATCATATGTTGATGAAAAAAATACCTGTTGTGCATCAAATCCTCCAATCCATGCTTCTCTTTGATAATGAGTGGCCCTCATTATCATCGTCTGAATCTGATGGTACTCCTGGATGTTGTGTATGGATGCAAGGTGTCCACCCATGGACCGACAGTTTCTCTACAGCAGAGAAAGAAGCCTGATAGCCTGATAGAAAGAAGTTTGTTTATTGATGCCAATTAACCAGAGGTGGAAAGTAACGAATTACAATTACTCACGTTACTGTTGTAGCACCCTGCTAGTTTGGTTTATATAATGCTTATTTCAGTAACAAATGTACAGTGAAAATTGGTTGAATTTATTATTGGTGTGTAATAGTTTTAACTGCTTTAATATGGAGTAATTTCTAGGTTGGTAAGATGTTGAAATGTCACACGTTCTATGTAGTTCTTGAAGCTCTCAAGTCCATGTAATTGGTTGTTTATTCAATAGTCAGGTGTCAGTCTGTTATTATCGAATCAGGGTTTACTCAGAAAAAAACAAGTGATGGACTGAGAGCGGTGGGATAGAGAGAGAGAGGTGAACGACACAGCGATGTTGAACACTGGTTATTAATTGTGTTGCAGCTAAAAGTTGGAGACCGGGTAGATTTTGTATCAGAGGTACCTAATAACACCGGAACAACATGTGTGTTTGGACTGTTTAAGTCTGAAGTCGAAAAAGACACGTGTTGAATTTTATCATTACACTCTGCTCCTCTCTGGTGATCGAAGTGCTCATTAGTGCCCCCCCCATAAAATACAGAACAGAATTTAAAATCATTCTTCTTACCTACAAAGCTCTTAATGGTCAGGCACCATCTTATCTTAAAGAGCTCATAGTACCTTACTACCCCACCAGAGCACTGCGCTCCCAGAATGCAGGGTTACTTGTGGTTCCTAGAGTCTCCAAAAGTAGACTAGGAGCCAGAGCGTTCAGCTATCAAGCTCCTCTCCTGTGGAACCAGGTTCCAGTTTGGGTTCAGGAGGCAGACACCATCTCCACATTTAAGAGTAGGCTTAAGACTTTCCTCTTTGATAAAGCTTATAGTTAGGGCTGGCTCAGGTGAGTCCTGAACCATCCCTTAGTTATGCTGCTATAGGCCTAGACTGCCGGGGGATTTCCCATGATGCACTGAGCTCCTCTCTCCTCTACTTTCTCTCCCTCTGTATGCAACCTTATCACATTATTGCATGTTACTAACACAACTTCTCCCCTTTCTGGTAGTCTTGTGCTTTCTCGTCCCTCTCCTCTCTCCTCCTATCACTTCCTGCAGGTTTTCTGGCTCTGGAGCTGTGGAGTTTGGATCTGTGGTTGCGGGTCACCTGCTGCCCCCGTGTTCCTGCTCGACACCCTCTGCTGCAACGACTATTGTTACTAGTCCTATTGTTATTATAATCATTAACATTACGATTGTTATTATTAACACTACTATAAATATTTGTACCATTTTTCATTTAGTCTATAGCAACATCACCTTTACTGTCTGTACCTCTGTGTGTATATTGTGTAGGCTGCACCTCTGCAATTAACTAAGTAGAAATTGTAGAAAGTAGTGAACAGAATAAAACAAAAATAATCCTGATTACTTCAGCCGCAGCCCAACTCATGACTCGTGGAACGTAGAGGAAACAGCGACCCTTGAAAGCAGTCCAACCAAAAGGACATAATGTCAACCTCTTGACAACACGACTCTCTCCTGCAGTAAAACAAACAAGAGTGGATAATAAGTCTATAGTAGTAGATAGATGCAGTATTTCTGTTTGTTTACAGGAGAACATCATGACAAAGTGTATTTTAGTATAATTCTGATAAAGTATCCACTGACCTGGAGTGAACGAGTTGGTCCAGTTTCCAGCCTCTGTGTCTGGAAGAGATGCACAGTTTGATATAGTTACTGATTTAAGTTGTCTGCTGTTTACATTGTTTATTTATGAATACATTTACATTTCTTTCTCTGTACATGCAGTAATACTCATGTCTCATATGTGATTACAAGAGAGCACCATTACAAATATTCACTCACCTTGGACAGCAGTTCCCTCTGTCCCAGGTTCATCCTCTGCGTCTGGAAGAGCTGGAAGGACATTTTGACCCACTAGTGAGTTCATGTCTTCATCTACCCTTGTTGCTGTGTATAGACACATGAACATAAGCTGTCTCTCTTTCACACTCACTCACATATGGAGTAATACTCACCAGCAGCTCTGGTCAGAGCCATCATGGCACAAAGAAGTGCAGACAGAGTCAGCGTCTTCATGGTGGAGATGATGCAGATGTTGAAGATGATGATTACCTTTAATAAAGACAGACAGGGACATGTTAGTAATACTTCTCTAAGGAAGAGACCACCTGTAGTGGCAGTCAGGTCAATATATAATGACAGCTTGTGAGCAAACCTGCTGCAGAACGATCTTCTCTTCTTCCTTCTCAGCGTCTGTAGCTTCAGTCGTCCTGTCTGGAGCTGCTGAACCAGAGAAACACCAGCTCTTATATACAGTTGATGACGGATCTTCCTAGGAACTGAGGAAGAAGTTACATATCTTTCCATCTCTCACCAAATCAGGAACTAAAGACAAAACACACATCCAAAATACACATTTACCGGCATTAGTTCACCATGTCCAGCTTAAATTTTGTTTGCATAATGTTTGTAACCACCAGAGCTGTAAAATGTGATCACTAAAGCAACATGTAAGATCATTTTTAAGTGGAACTCAAACTATAAAATGACATATCTGACAGCCGGCAGTTGATTATATTACCTGTAATAAAGGTACTGTATTGTATTTTATATTTTATATCGGGCATTTATCTAGTAGGCGTAAGCTGAACATCTATTTTTTATTATGTCTTAAGGTAAAACACCACACAGCTGCCAGGCACGTTGTTACAGACTGTTAATTGTTTGAGGTATTTACTTTGCCCCACACTGATGCAAAAATACATTTGTCAGTGATCTATTACTGCAAATTACTGATGAACTAAATCCTTATCAGAATCATTTTATGTTTTAAGTCAAGGGCTTCAGAAAAAATACTGATTCTCCAGGTCAGCAAAGGGTTGATGTACAGTGATTACATTAATCTGTGTCACAGCAATCCTTCTGAATCTGAGGTCCAGTATTTGTTTTAATCAGGCATCTGACGCATATAATATGTAGGGGAGAGAGGGGAGTGTTGTAGCACTGGGTTAGCTGTAACACTCTCAGTTTGACTAATCACAAAAGAGCTGCGGCGATGTCATCAATCTCGTAGACTCCAGTTCCTTTTCAAGCTCACACGAGAAGCAGCATGTTTCTGTTAGCAACACTGTGAATTTTACATCCCCAAAAACTGATTTTCAGGTAAGAAAGTATGTTTCTGTTAATCAAGATTATTTTTTGCCCAGCGTTCAATCTGTTAAATTCTGTAGATGCAATGTTGCAGCTTGTCTATGAAGATTCTGTCATACAGGTCATAGTTATCAAACGAAGGTTAAAATCAATCATCCTTGATTTTAACCTTTGTTGGATAATGTTGCAGCCTGGATCACTTAAAGTAGATTTTTTTTCCAGTTTAATTTGATGCTTTGCATTAATGTTAACTTCAGACCTAAATACCTTAAATTGTTAGCTATGCGATGGCTGGTTGTTGTTAAAAGATCATGCGCACGGATTTAACCACACCAAGTGTTGTCTTCTCATTTATAGTTGTGGACACATGGGCATAATCTCTGGAAGTGGAACAGCCGGCCAGTCCTGAAGTATGAAATACAAAGAGGGGACTTCATGTTGTCTACAAACATACAAACTTTCTGGCAGTAACTTCTCAAATGTTGCCCTCCTTTTCCGCTTTATGAATTTGGGAATGGATGCTGTAACGCACTTTTGGGAGCACAACAGCGTTATGGTCATTGACCACTTGCGAACAAAGGACAGTGTTGTTGCTCTGGATAAGTAGAGAACTGTATTGTAATAAGTACCATTATCTGTTGCATTACCTGCATATTGCATACTCCCTTGCTCCCTTGTGGTTGGATAATGCACATGGTATCACATATAACATTAAATAACCTTTTCTCTGTTTCAGCTGATGGAAGGATGGACTCCCCAGGTTAGTCATTGAATTTCTCTGTGTGTTCACTAATCAGGTGATGTCAGATTTTCTATAGGTAACTCCGCCCAATATTGCACCTACACAATTATGGAGCATGACTACAAGGACATAACCGGTGTAGTTACAGCTGACAAATGACAAACCAACATGAACAGTGTGGTCGTGGAGAAGTACGTCTTTATACAGACATTTGATCGGCTTCTGGGGGAACTGAACATTACAGAGATTGTCACAGATGCACACATGCAGATTTCATCACTGATGTACAGATTGAATACTTTTCAACTTTTCACTTTAAAATTTACCATCACTGCTGCATTGAATGCTTAGTCCAACTGTGAATTTGAGAAAATTGAAGAGATTAGAAAATGCAATACCACAGCATCTACAGTAAAAAACAGAGGAGTTCTGTAGTGGGGACGACAACAGAAATCCAGGCATGTGGGGAAGGGAAATACAAGGGCCGCGGTGTCAAAACGGCAACTTTTTTGTTCTCCCGGGGTAGTAGGTTGTTTTTCGGGTTTGAAACCTGTAAATGGTGATCTGAAAACTGGTGTGCAAAAGTGTGAAATAAAGTTTTGAAACTTGAAAATTGAGGTTCAAAAGGTGGAAACTTTATTACATTACATTTGCACTCGTATTGCAGACCTGAGTTTTCAACATCCACTTTGCGGAGATACGCCCACACAGTTGCGAGCTTGCGACTCACGTGTTTTGTGGCAGCGTTGTCACGCAGCCGTGGTTGTCTGGATCTTTTTTTTTTTTTTTTTTTTGCCAGTTGGCGGACAATCGAGAGGAGTTCATAGTGAGTATAATGGCCACAAATTGATTTTGTTTGTAATCACTGCACACGGGGCAGGAAGGTCTTACCATTCAGCTTGTAAAGTGTGAAATTACCACCGATAAAATCTCGGCAGAAATGTACAGTCTACTACAGCGATTAACTCCTGCAGGTGGTGGATGTTCATGTCTGTCTCACAGCATTTGTAATTATACTTAAAATTTATATTTTTATTTTAGGGTATGTGGCGAGGGGTCCTTCACCATGTCTGTGGCGCGCATGAATGGGCCCTTGGTAAATGTCAACATCAGCCACTGGATGCGGTGAGCAGTGCCAAAGACTGCATGCTGTCTCGTTCTGCAGCATATGAGGCACTCTCTCAAATCGTGCTCAACAGACGATGGCTGAAGGATGTGGAGAAGTTTCATTTTGGTAAAACGTTACATAATATCATGCCACCGACCAGCATACATCAACCAGAGAGGCAAAGTTTCCTAAGTCATACGTGAAAGATTTTTTGCGGTTCGGTTGCCTGGGGAGTTCACTGGAAAACTATACTTAGAGTGAGAACAGGGTGCTGATCTCACTCAATGGAAAACCACACAGTATGTTGCAACTGTCAACTAATGTTACATTTGTTGTCTTTTAGACAAAAAGTGTAAACATTATCGTGTCCACGCGGTGAAGGTTGCCAAAGACTACAGCAACATCCCTCAGCTGCAGCAGGCTAGACAACCCACAGACTCTTGGTCTTCTTACTGGAGTTAAGCCTCCCCCAACAGCTGAACTGGCCCAGGCACAGATCTGCAGAGGACAGGTATGTGGACAGCCTGCCTACAGTCACATCTGATTGGCCACAATGAGTTTGCTTACGAGTCATGCAACAAAAAACAAAGAGGCTTCCCTTTCCCCTTCCGAGCTGGGTCGTAACAGAGGCAAAGCCTAATCATGACAGGATCATTTACAGTGTTTGCTTCTTTCTCTTTCGTAGACACCTTGCATCTGCACACAACATCCAGGAATACCATTCAGGCGATGACATCGAGGGTCACTGAAAATCCAGGAGAAACATGGATTGGAGGCTCTAATACAGAACAGGTATATTATTCGTGACTATATTATGGGCGAAAGTTATTTTTTAAATGACTGTTGTCTTGACTCTTGTATACGAACAATATTCTCTCTGTATTCAAGGACCAATATTGGATCTGGAGTGAGGGCACACCTTTCTTCTTTACTTGGTGTCGTGGAGAGCCTATTAACCATGGAGGTCGTCAGAAATGTCTGCAAATGAATTATTCAGGTAAATTGTAACATTTTTCCCCCATGAGAGCTCAGTGTTTAGTGTAAATGGAACAAGATTTACTGGTAAACAATTTAAATATATTTGACTTTATGAAATGACTTGAGTACATCATACAGTATACGACAACATTTACCAGTGATTTACAAAGTATTCGGATCCTTTACTTAAATAAAAGTAATAATACTACTCTGAAATACTCTGTAAAGTAAGTAAATAAAACTCCTGCATTGTAAATGTAACTCAACTAAAAGTATGTAAGTAGAATCGATTGATTGTTTGGTTTGTAAAAATTCTTAAAATTAGAAATGCCATCACAGTTACCCAGAACTCAAAGTGACACCTTCACAATACTAGTTGCGTCCAACCAACAATCCAAACCTCAACTTTATTACCAATAAATCCAAACTATTAAAATTATTAAAAAGGAAAACTTGGAACCAACAATGACTTAAACCATCAAAATAGTTTCCCATTAATTTTCTGTGAATTCACTTATTGTTTAATCGACTAATCATTGTTGGAGAGAGTTTAATCTATAAAAAAAATTCAGATTTTATAAACTCGTGTTTTGTGAACAAAAATCTTAATTTGTAAAGTAACTAGTGACTAACGCTGTCCTATACAGTAAGCATAGTTGATTAAAAAGTACATTGTTTCCCTCTGAGATGCGGTGAAGTAGAAGTAGTAAATAGCATTATAAGAAAAGACTTAATGAAATGGCTGACAAATCTTTCTAAGGAGCCACCCGGAGGGGCAGGTTGGGAGTCGCTGACACACATACTTCCAAAAGCACGCATGGAGATAGTTCCTTAATTTTAATAACCAAAGAATTTATTTATTTATCTATACTCCGGTTGTCTTTCCAACAACGAAAAAATAAAGAACATAAACAAAAAGACCAACACATGATTGATATTACTAATGTGAAGCGCTGCGGTCAGAAAACTGACTGAGAATCAAGGAGGAGCAGGTCAAGAAGCCTAATTCATAAATCACAGCATCAAAAATTAACGCAAAACATACATTTTCTTATTTAAATTAAAGAACTCTCAGTATGGCTCCAACGCAAACTAGTACTCAAATTTGTACTTGAGTAGAGTACTTGTGTAAATGTACTGTCCACCACTGAAATGTACACTGTAGGGTTTGAGATTCATTAATAACCTATTACAGTTTTTCTCAATTGCTTGAACACTATAACCAGGCTATTGAACTAAAATTTCAAAACCATAACTCCATTGTTCAAAAAGCACACCCTTTTTTCTAAACTCTCCACACAAATCCCCTCATTTCTCTTCGCCTACAGCATGTGGTCTTTGAGAAAACACTAACATTCAGTATTGTTCACTCAAACAGCACATGGTGAGCTAAGTTTGCACACAGCTACCCAGGTGGAAACACAAAGAGTCAAAATTGATAACACATCAATCAGAAGCTTCAACAGATAGAAAAAAGGGCCATTTTCAGAGTTTCAAAACTTTATTTCTTTTGCACACCAGTTTTCAGATCACCATTTACAGGTTTCAAACCCGAAAAACAACCTACTACCCCCGGAGAACAAAAAGTTGCCGTTTTGAAACTAAAAAACAACATGTTTGCAGAGATTTTATTGTTTATTTAACACTTTGCAAGCCTGTAAATCTTAGTTTTTGAGTTTTGTAAGATTTTGAGTTTTCAAACACTTTCAGAACTTTATTTTCAGTTTTGAAACATGGCAGGATATTTATGCCATAAATTCGTGCTTATAACCGTCCTACGACAGCCACAGATACCGTATTTTTATCTTTTTTAATAATTTAAATTCAAATTTAAATAATTCAAATTCAGATTCTACTGACACAAATATGAGCCCATAGCATGGGAGCAGAGAACAGCAGTTTTGTTTGTTTTGAAGCTGAAAACATCAAGTATGTCATCAAGAAAATAATCAGCAGATCCTGAAAATTATAAATGATAAAAAATAATGTTTATAAAAAAAAAATCTATCTGGGAACGTAATCTGTATCCCAGCATGCCTTTCTTTTTCTGCTCCTGCAGGGTGGCTGTCACGTGCAGATACAGAAGTGACCTCACGGTGGCGCTGCTGTCCTGCCAGCCTCTCTCACTCTGTGGTTCTGAGACAGAAACTCAGCCTCAGATTCAGTCATGAGCGTCTGTTTCTGTTTGTAATCTGCACACACACACATCCAATGGACTGTGTGTGGACTTGTCAGGAATCATGTCAGTGTAACGAATGAAATGGTCTGCAGTCTCGATACTTGACTCGATGTGAGTGTGTGTTGTATTAGTTTCACTTCCTCTCAGGTTCAGAGATTGTTTTATTGGTTTCTCTTTCTGTCCAGATGTCTGTAGGGTTGTACTGTTATATTTCTTTTCTCTTGATTATTCATCTGTCTTTTCTTTTGAAAACATTTGTTTTCAGTAACATGTAACTCAGCTTTAACATCTGCAAGCTCAACATTCATGCCAATTAAGCTTATACATATTCACTACATGTTATATTAAACTTACAACTTATTATATATTATTCTGTAATCCTACTACATTTTATATGCAATATTGTTGTACTATACTGCATATTTTCCAATAGCTACATTGGTGTTGATTATTGTGTGTGATTATTATTATAGTGTTTATATCTATCTATCTATTTATATCTTAAGCAAATGTGGGGGGGTTATGTTATCGGTCATCGATGATTGCAGCTCTGATTGTATCGGCACAGTTAAAACACACAAACACGCAGGTGTCGTTTCGTGAGTGTTAAAGCTCACTGACTTAAAGGTCGGGAGCTTGTCATGAAGATAGAAGATTATGTAAAGATTGTGTGTGTGTGTGTGTGTAGGAAAACTCCTCCAAAAGCTATCAGCAGATCAGATTTATCCAACAGCAGTGGTGGAAAAATACTTTTACTCAAGTAAGTCCACTTTTGAGGGACTAGTACTTTACTTGTGTATTTCCATTTTGTGCTAATATATTTCAAAGGGGTTTACTTTTGGCCCCATCGTCAGGTCTGAGTTTTTCTCTTTCTAATATTTATTGCTGCTCTTACTAGTATCTGTTGTTACTCATTGATCTCTGACTTTACTGATGCTTGTATGTTGTTCCTCAAATGTAAGTTGCTACGGACAGAAGTGTCTGACCAACTGAGTAAATGTAAGTTTGCTTTATTTTTGGCATAGCATCACCCAGAGAGGGAAAATGCACCAGCTGCCATTGATTTAAAGTAGCTCCTCTAACTGGTACCTGCATGTTGATTTATCAGTATTAATAATGCAATAATCTAAAATATAATAATGAAGCCAATTATCCGTAGAAGAAGTACTTTTACTGTTGATACTTCTGGTACATTTTGATTATAATACTTCTGTGCTTTTAATTAAAGTAAGATATTAAATGAAAGACTTTTACTTATAATTGACTACTTGAAGCTGGGGTAGGCATTTTATTTTAGAGCCATTTTAGTTGTTGAAATTCCTGTCAACACCTTTTAACACAAACGTAGCAAGCTAGCTAGCACTTCCGGTGTGTACGAGACGCCCCAGAGCGTCTCATAGAGACCCATCTGGAAGCGCCTCAGAGAAGCTGAAGGGTACTTTTGGTGTCAAATAACTACGTTTTGTCACTTTTTCTGAAAGCGCTGGTATTGGACACCCTGAGATAAGAACAGTCTGGGTATCTTTGGCTGTCATGGCACTGTTATAGGCCTACCTGCCTACCTGCGTGCACTCTGCCTGTATTGAACATGTGTTTTGAGGGAGTATGATGGGGTGGGATTTCTTCCATTTCAAAATCTAGCAATCTCTTGCTAGTTTCTGCTACACCAGCTTTAAAAGACCTGTGTACCTCTTCCACTGCTTTTCAGATAGTCATACATTGTACAAACATTCAGCCTCCTTTTTTATTTCTCATCCATCCAACAGTTGGCACATTAATACCCCTCTTATGATCAGGATATTTTGAGTATCCTGACTGTGTGTTTCTGCATGTAAATTTCAAATTCAGTTTCAGAAACCAGGATGTACCCTGGCTGGAGTACTGTGGGTGAAACCAGGAGGCTTTGAGAGACAATAAAAGTGGAAATATGTTCCTACAAGTAACCAAGAATAATACAAATGCAAAAACCAAACCAGTCTCCACCATCAGAATCATACAGGGAGGTGAATACCCTCATAACCAGGATGATTGTGCGGGAACAGTAAAAGTCTGGTACTGGTGTCAGAACAGATAGTATCGCTCTTTCCACCAACACTACGCAAACTAAAAATGGATGTCACAAAGTCATCCGGAGTTCCTCTGGCAAATCTGACCTACTGATATCCAACATGTCCTCAAATCTAAACGCCCAAATAAGTCAATTGTCAACTGCCTCAAAACAACATAAATGACCGTGCCCCAAAACAAAAGCGAGCTTTGCCAAGTACCAGTTCAGCAACCAGTGGACCCTAAGTATAGTATGAAGTAAAAAATGTGGTGAGTATTGTGAAACAATGTTAGTATGATTAGATTTAGGCAAAAGAACTTGGTTAGATTTAAAAAGATAGTGGTTTGGCCTAAAATATATACATTATGTAGTGACGCAGGTTATCTGCAAAATGTTATTTTACCTAAAACATGTCAACTTTGACTTTCTTTCACGCAGGACTCAAATCTTAGTGTGCTGAGTGAAAGTCCTTCTTCTGCCACTAGAGGTTGGGGCCAAACAAAAAGCATAAATATGGGTCATAATAAGCTGCTTTATAATTGACCTATAAGGCTGTTTATCTGGTGAGGATGGGCTGGAAATCGAGAGGTCCGTAGCCGCCCTCAGTAAAAGAAAAAGCAGTAACAGGCAGACTAAAACAACATAAAAATAAATCAGATGCAATTTCTTAATAGACATAAAAGATCCAACCGTTAAAAGTAATGCATACCATGTAAATCACAGGGAGTTATTAAGCAAGCAAATGGCGGCACGGACAAAAGTAGGCCTAATAAACTGAAAATAAAAGAGGTAAACTGGTCTGCGAGTCAGTGACTGTCTGCAGTGTGAACCTCTTCCAACACATTAAATGCACAAACACACAAGAAAGACAATAGTCATAACAAGCGGGATGTAACTGGGTTTAGACAAGTACAATTTTAAGTGGCTTGTACTTTACTTGAGTGTGTTCGTGTTATGCTACTTTACTTCTACTCCACTACATTTTGAGAGATTTTTTTTTTTACTTCACTATGTTTATTTCACATCTTAAACAACATCTTTCACACACATACACAAACAGTGAGTTCATAAAATATTACCTAGTCAAATTAGCAGCATCTTGACGGACAACAATAGTACAGTTCTGCTTAATTATACTGTAAATGCATCTGTAAAAATAATCTAGTAATATAGGAAAGGCCTACTGCATAGTCACCGGCACAATTTATACTTTTACATGTTGCTGCTAAAACTTAAGAGTATTTTTTATTTTTTTAAAACTAAGCTATTCTTATCCTTCCTACTGATACATTCAGACATTGAATATCTGAATACTTTATGTAAATGGTCATTTAAATGTTTCAAATAGCCAACTTGAAAATGAAAACCAGGGTAATTAAAGAAAAGGTTGTTTTTAGTGATGTTCAGTGAGTGCTCTGCAGTCTACTTGCCCTACGTTAACGTTGCAAAGCACGGACATCTTCCTTTAACCCCCTCGCTGCCTCTTCTTCTCTCTGTGTATCGATGGCTGCAGGTGAATGGCTCGCGCGGGTATCGATGTGTGTGTGGGCGCGCGGCCGGGGCGGTGGGCGGTGGGCGGAGAGGGAGGTTGCAGTGGAAGCAGACTATAAAGTGGACCAGGGTCCGGATCCATCTCACCTGTCTGAATTCCTTCAGTCAGACACGCAGCATCTTCTTCTGCTCACCTGAGAGTTTTTTTGGACACGACAAGAGAGAAGCTGGGATTTTAAAACAACAGCAACAACAAACCGGGATTAATTTAAGACACATTTTGACTTCTTGCAGAGGAAAGGAACTTCACCCCGCAAGCAACAGGTAAGATTTGGTGCTTTTACTTTGCAACTTTCTGCCTGTTCCAGGAATATTTTACGGTATTAAACGATTTTAAATTCCCAGCTACCCAAATTTAAACATAATGATGTAGGCTAGGCTAAATTTACGTGAGATTATCTTGTAAAAGTCGTTCGGGGTGGCTGATCTAAACTCTTGCAGACTAATGTTTCCCAAACATCAAGTCTGCTTCAGCTTCAGTAAAAAATGATGCGTGAGGCATTTCAAAATAAAGCTGTACCCTCGCAGTGTTGTGGGCTTTTATTGGCTAGGCCTATTTATTAATTTATAGACATCTAGGCCTACTGTAGACTGAGATAAGATTTATCTTCGCTGAGATTCTGAGGAAACTTGTTTAAAAGTGGGCAACGGGATGTAAATGTGTTGGGGGTTTTTTTAAGCTAAACGATAGGAATCAATATTTAAATGTAGAAGTGAAGTTACCATGTAAGCACGTGCAGCGTGTTTGGGTATTTAAGTATTCATTTGTTGCCCCAGCAGCAGCAGCAGCAGTCATGAGCAGTCACTTGGTGCTGATGGTGTGTCTCACGCTCGCGCTGGCGTTGTGTTCCCGCGGCGGGGAGGCGCGAGTCAGACTGAACGCCATCAGGACGGTGATCCTGACGGAGGGCCACGCGCTGCCAGTGAACAGGAGCGCGTGGGAGCCAAACTTGGACCTGACGGTGAGTGTGTGTTTGTGACGTAGGGCCCTACAACGGCGTTCCGACAGTTCGAATGGCTTTAATCTGGATACAATGTTTCAGAGTTCTGTTCCAAAGTCAGTGACGTTCACGTGTGTCTCCGCAGCTCTACCAGTGCATGAGCGACCTGGAGTGCAGCGAGGGCAGCTACTGCCACGCCCCCGCCAAAGGCCCCGCCCACTCGCGCTGTCAGAGCTGCCGCAGGAGGAAGAGGCGCTGCCTTAGGGACAGCATGTGTTGCCCGGGCAACCGCTGCAACAACAGTAAGATTGGCTTTTATATTCAACATACCCCGCGTGTCTGAAAGCTACGTCACTAAATAAAACAATGTTGTACAAAAAGAGTATAAAAAATACAAATGGAAGTAGTGTGATGGTTTCTGAATAAGAGCTAAAATATTTTAAATGACTGGCTTATTATGCTCCTCTGGCTCATTTAACTTGCATTAGTATTTTATTTTGTAGTAGGCTAGTATAACGAAGGTATAAAAACTTTTGGCTTACTGTAATAAGTAAGTAATAATACTAATAATTAATCAATAATAATTACTGTAGGGTAATCTCATACATTTAAAATGTCTCAATTCTGATTTATAAAATCTTGATTTATTTTCATTTTTCTAGTTGTACCTCTATCTTAGTCCATATTACTCTCACTGATAGTCTTCCTTTACCATTTTTCTGTTTTCACAACAAACCATATTGCTATTATACAGCTTTTGTTAGATTTTGATCAATCTAGTTTGACATTTACTCAAGATATCTCACTAATCATTCACACTAAGTTTACTAAAGCATTTAAACTTAATTTTTATTTAAACTGCTTACTAGAATGATGGTTGCTATTTAAAATGCTCATTCATTCCTCTCTATCTCCTTCAGATATCTGTGTTCCCCAAGTGGATAGTTTTGTGTCTGAGAGGATCCCAGACTCGGATGGAAGGATCAGTCCTCTGTCTAAAAAGAAAGGATGGAGGAAGAGGGGGAAGGTGGACGTCAAAGGGACATCCGGTAAAGGTGAGCCTTTGTTCCCTCTTCTCATCTGCTGGTGCTTTCACACTTAATATCATCTTAATTAGCATCAAGAAACCTCATTTATAATTGGTTTAATGTGGTGCTCCGATTTATTCACAATTACTGTTTATTTTGACTGGAGCAACTTCAGAGATCCTGTCTTGTTTAATTAAAGCAGATGAAACTTTCTGTGAAAGTTTTTACTTTACTATTTACAAATTATTTATGTTCTTGTCATTCTACAATACTACCTTCTTTGCTTCTTTATGGCATGACATTGAGCAATTGAAATCATTGTTTTTGATATAATTAGTTAATGTAGATTTATTGTATGAGTCTGCTTTCCACCTCGTATGTCATCGTATTAACAGTTTTTGTGTCTGTCTCTGTGTTTCCAGGTCAGGTAGGAGATCCCTGTCTACGCACCTCAGACTGTTCAAGTGGTTTGTGCTGCGCCCGTCACTTCTGGGCTCGCATCTGCAAGCCGGTGTTGCGGGAGGGACAGGTTTGCACGCGACACCGCCAGAAGGGGAATCAAGGCCTGGAGCTGTTCCAGCGCTGCCCCTGCGGTGATGGATTTAGCTGCCGAACGCTGCAAGATCTCAGTGGCCAGCCTTCAATATCCTCGTCCTCGTCCTCATCCTCATCCTCGTCATCACTGCTGGCGGCAGCGGCAAAATCCAAGTTTGCAGCGTCCTCTTCCTCATCTCGCCACTCCTCTCCCCAGACATCGCTGCTGTCTTCATCCTCAAAGTCGTCGTCAGCGGTGGCAAAGGCGAGACTTCACGTGTGCCAGAAAAACTGAGGAGGGGTGGGTCAAAACAAAGACAAAGGAGGGAGAAAGAATGGCCTGAAATGAAGGAAGGAAGAAAGGAAAGACCTTCCTCTTCCTGCCAATGACCGACCCCGGAGGTAACGAGAGGCAGAGACCAGGAATCAGAGAGAGTGGGACAGAGACAAATGGAGAGAGGGGTGAATAACCATACCTGTTTACACCTGTCAAATCTCCCTGTAACCCCTCCTTCTCATCCAAACCGTCCTTGTATTTCAATGCTAATTAGCTTCCTGTCAGGCTGCATTCACACACAGAGCGGGAAGTGAAACTCTTTGTTGTTCAGATCTGGTTTCCTCCTGGGTGTCTAGACAAGCAGAAACCACTTTGAAATCTGGTTCGACACCATTTACACAGAGCATTAATATTGAAAACCTGTTAAATGTGGTTGTAATGACCTCCAGCAAGCTTTGAGAACCCATAGATCCAATCATGTGCTGTTACTTTGAAAAAAACACACTACAGATATTATCTAAAACATATCTTTATTCTCAAAGAAGTAAATGTTGTGCTAATCGGGAGATAAGCATGAGATAGCGTCCCTAATTTCAGTAACTAATGATGAAGAACTAATGATCTCATCTGTGAAGTTGCTTTATTATAGGTTTATTTAAGTAGATGTTCTTATTTTTATGGAAGTATTTTGATGACTCTGATAAGCTAGCCTTAGAATATGCATTAAGAAGTCTTACGTAAACTTGATTTTAAAAAGAAAGCTTAACCAACATTTCTCTAACCATTTGGGCAATCAGCAAACACAAAAATGTTACAACAGCTCTGACGAGAGTTAAAGTGAGTTTTGTCTTTAGTTTTATAGCAATGAACAGGTGATCTTTGGCTATTAGCCTCCAAAGAGCTGTCACAGTAACACCCATTTGGCAAAAGAGCAATAGAATTAACATCCATATTCACATCCCTAAACTGTGAAATGTTGCTTCGTTAAACCAAATCTGTCCCTTTTCAAACTTTAAGGCCCGAGGTTTGTCCAGACGTCTTGTTTTATTGCACTGTTGTAATTGTGATAGAGTTATTTTTCTATAAGTTGTTCCTGTATATTTTGGATGAATGTTGGTAGAAATGCCTGTTTATTACGTGTCCCTCTGCAAGTTTATTTTGGGGGTTTGTTTTCAACACTTTAAGAGGGAATCTTCTGTTTCTGTATTTTACAGGAGTCTGCTAATCAATCACTAATCTGTGTTTTTACCATTAAAAAAGATCTGTCATTTCCAACATGTCTGAGTGTCTCGTTTTTAGGACAAACATACGTGTTTGTTATTGTTCAGGAGTCCAGATGCTTTCGGCCATGTAGTGTATATTAATAATGATATGATAAGCTAAATTTACTAATATATGGTTGCCATTTTGTATTTAGTCTTTTAACATTGCTTGCTAGCAGAATCAGCAGGCTAGTAGCATTGAAACTGGTAATCAAGCCAGTTAACTTCCTGATAAATTTACACAGTGTTTGTAATTGTTGTTCCTCATACTGCTGCTAATTCAGTAAATCTTCAATTTAGGCTATCTTAAGTTCCTTAACTGCATTAGTAATTTTACAAATATAGTTTGTATGCTAATCTTCCTGTGCTAGAGCTGTGTAGCTGTGTAAAAAGGCTACAGGCTAGGCCACAATCACATCGATGTAATACTTTCTAGGACTATAGTGATGAAAGATTAGCCTGTTTAAATTAACCAAAGGCTAACGTAAAGAAAGTACGAAGCCTCATATCAGCAACAACAAAGCTTGAAAGCTTCTTGCTGGTAATTTATCTTGGCTTGTTTTCTTGAGATGTTCATTTTTAACCACACTCTGCTCTGCCCTGTGGGACACTATAACTCTGCTTAAAACAACTAATTGTCATGTTTAAACGTGTCTTTATGTGAGGATTAAATAAAAGATACAAATGTGTTATGTGTATTTTCTTTCTTTATTATCTTTATTACTAAGCTAAGCTAAACACATCCTTTTTTAGTTAGGTGACCAGATTTCTGAAATGAAAACAGTGGATATTTTTGGTTTGGTGGTCATTAAAAAAATATAATGTTATTATATATGAAATAAAAAAGGGGACAATTTCTGTTTCATAATTTGTCAAATATAACTCTTCTGAATGAAATCAAGTCATTTTGAGGCAGAAACTACCTTTCAGTCAGTAAGTAGAGGCTGCAATCACTTTCCGGCAAGTAGAATACTGCATTTTATGTGTTGTTTTGGCCGTTTAAAGGTATTTTCAGAGGTAAAAAGTACAAGGTGAGTTATAATCTGTCAAATATAGCCCGCAATATAAGCAAGTCATTTCTGGCAAGTAGAATACTGCATTAAATAGATTGTATTGGCCATTTAAAGGCATTTCAACAGGTAAAAACTACTGGATTGGTTGGTACACAGGAAGTTAAATAATGCAGAGTCATAAGGATAATTGCAAAAGAGATCATGTCTTTATTTTATATATAACTCAGCAGTAAGTCATGTTAATTACAGGCTACAGTCTGTTTTCCAAACATAAACAAGGATATTAGACATAGGCCTGCCAAAAACATTGTCTATCTGCAACAACAGGCTTCTGTTATTGCCTATAACCATGTAAATGTCAGGCCTGGTTACGCTATAAACTGCAAACACTTATTGGCCACAATTGTGATTATTCCATTAAAAGAAAAGAGATAAAGTATTGCAAAGACATACCTTTGCTATTACCATGGACATAAAGTGATGTTTGTTTGCATGTTTTGTCTGTTTGATCCAGATGCAGCTGTAGACGTAAAGAGATACAACTTTAACACGCTGCACGCTCTTTCTGGCCACATAAAATCTGATTTCAGGTCTGTTAACACCTTATAAAGTAGCTTGTCAATGTCACTTGTCGTGAACTGACCAATCACAGCTTGGATGGGGCGGGACATTTAAAAATATTGACAGATAGATAGATTGACAGATGTCATTTACAACGTCTCCCTCACTTTTTGAAAGCTTTTGTTAAAAATGTTCTGAAAAACAGCTCCAAGGAATGTTAAATAACAAATTAAACAATAAAAAAAAAAATCATGCAATGCAATTGAAATATAGAAGAAACAAATATGCATTGTCCAAAAAAGTAACTTAAGCTAAAACAACAAGCTGCTGTGTCCTGCATTATTTTACATTATATTTTTATATTTGTTTCCCTTCATATAAAAAGCATTTCCACCATAAATTGGTGCAGAAAATGTCTTCAGAATGCAGGAAATTGCTCAAAGTCTTCTGGATGAGGACCTCCAGACCTCCACACTGATATTTCAGCATTGAATATTTATTCAAAATACTGTTAAAATATCATCCGCCTGTCTCGTTATTTAATAGGCTATATTAGAGACCCCCACAAAGCTCAGATTATAACTCAGAGAATAACCACAGTTGTGGCCAATCAGTGTTTGCAGTTTAAAGCGTAACCAGGCCGGACATTTACGTGGTTATAGGCAATAATAGAAGCCCGTTGTTGCAGATGGATTATGTGTTTGGTAGGCCTATGTCTAAAAGCCTTGTTTATATTTGGAAAACAGAATGTAGCCTATAATAACACGACTCACTGCTGAGTCATATGTAGAAACAAGACATGAACTCTTTTGCAGTTATCTTATGACTCTGCATTATTTTCCAGTTTACCTGTTGAAATACCTTTAAATGGCCAATACAACCCATGTAATGCAGCACTTGCCAGAAAGTGACTGAAGCCACTACTTATTGACTGAAAGGTAGATTCTGCCTCAAAATGACTTGATTTCATTCAGAAGAGTTATATTTGACAGATTATAAAACCAAACTTGTCCCCCTTTTTTATTTCATATGTAATAACATTATGAAATCCGGTCACCTTATTGCACCAGGTCACATTTTTAATATCTCAGACAGAGAGGCCCAAATCTAGTTGGACCACATGAATTGGAAAACCAGGCTGTGAATGTTTTTCCCAGTACTGGTGGGACGTGATAAGATGAACAAAGAGGAAGAAAAATCCTCACAGGACTGTAAAGACACAAGGAAATGATTCCATCTGTGTAGATAAAATGTATTTATGACCACAGAGTTAAAGCTCACCCTCAGATATTTAAACTGCTGGACGATTTAAATATCTTTCATAAGGATAACAGGTGATTTCGTCATCCTGTAATGAAAGACAGACAGCTGAATGAAACGAATGACAGAGTCCGTGGGTCATTAAATAGAAAAATATACATTAGATTGTCTTACATTGGACTTTATGAGGTCCAAAAATATTTTATCTGATCTATTTTCTTCTTTTGTCTCAGTTAGTTGAGTAACATCAGATGTTTCATAGCTTTATAAAACGTAAACTTTCCATCACACTACATTCATGGTTTTAATCCTTAAATATTCAGTTAACAAGGATCTTAAAACATTTAAATGTACCTGATACCTGCAGAAACCAACAATGTATCAAACTAAACAAAATACCTAATTTGTTGCCTTTCAAAATGACCCATGGGTTTTGCCTGATATGAGCAACCTGTCCCAAGTCGTCAAAAAACTTTGGAGTTTGTATCGCACTGGGCGCACCTTAGCGTCATACTTTAACGCACTGGGGGAAGGCCTCTAGCGTCACTTAGAGTTCAGAGTTATAGGTAAGCGTAGGATATTTAACATAATAGTCTTAGTTAGTGGTTGGGGGTGACGGGTGGGCCAGAAACAGGACCATGTGAAACAAAAAATCTGCGTTGAATGTTGTTATTGAAGTTAGGTTACACATATAATTACTTGTTCACAAAAAAATACTACGACTTTCAACGGTATCTGCTACTGTTATCATATTAAACGTCATAAGTATGGACACTTTTGGAGTGTAATACCTGACACCTGCAACAACAGCCACCACGGTAAACACAAGTCATTTTAGACTCTATTCAGGACTTATACATATCCAGAGCCAGGAAATGAGAACATCATTGCATGTAGATCCTTTCCAGCCCTCCTCACAACTCGTTCCAGCTTCTCCCCTCTAGTAGGCCAAAACCAACAGACTCAGGAACACTTTCTACCCACAGGCCATCACTCTGAAGAACAGCTGACTCCAGACACACAGTGTCAGGAACAATCCCTGTGCAACAACCCTGCGACTCAAACTACTTCACCTCCCTATGTACTATTTGCTATCTATTTTTAATTTTAGCTTTTTTTAAAACACAAATATTGCTGTTCATATGTTCATGTATCTGCACACAGTTGAGATTAATGTAGGACCAGAGGCAAATTCCTCACATGTGTACGCATACCTGACCAATAAAAGAGATTCTGATTCTGATTAGATATTTGAATCCTTGTGAGGAAAGGTTTTAAAACATCACGTATGTTGATTTCATTGTTTCCCAAAACCTTCAAAACTTCTGAGAATCGATTTCAATATTCTGGCGTCTCATTGACATCGAGAGAGAGGACAGTAACGTGATTTTGTGTGAGCATGCTCCCTATTTTGTGGTTGGTAGCTGGTGGGCATCACTGTCCTCAGTTTGGACATGGTTGTTATAAAGATAACACACACACTGTCTTTTACATGTTTGCGTCGCTCTTCAGTCCGTGTTCCCCAGCTTCCCCATTGCGTTGTGTTCAGTAAAGGTCCTTGATACACACGCACACCTATCTGCATTATCGTCACTTTGCCATCAGTGTTTCCCTGTTTCCTTGATGTCACAGCTTAGCTTCTCACACACACAGTTTTCCCTGTTGTTCTGATGATAATATGATTAAAACGGTAAAGTAAAACAGCTTTCTGCTCTCAGCCATTGATGTGTTTTCAGCTGGTTGTTCTGCCACCTAGAGGCCGAAAAAAACAGTCAACGCTGCCTGTTGCTTAGTAGCCTATTATGTTAGGTGACTGGAGAAGGCAAAATGTCAACGTTGGTAGTTTGATACACAAATAGGAGGCATTGACATACGGACATAACAGAAAAGACATCCACGTGCTGCGGATGAAAATGCATGTGTGGGTGTGCAGTCTGCTTCAGATTATCTTATCTCTGTGGTTTCAGACTCAGTCAGGATAAACTGTGAGCAGATGATGTTGTTGTTGTTGATGATGTTTCTCTCTGCGGCAGCTTGAGGCACAAACAGTTCATTCTCAAACTTTATTTTACTCAGGGAACAATGACAGAGCTGCTTCACATTCACACTGAGGGTAGACCACAGCTCTCTCCTCCACAGGGTCGGACCGAGCTGCAACCTCCAGGTCTGAAAATAAGAGCCAATGCGCCTTAAGTGCCTTAAACTCGCAGTCTGTCTAATGGCCAGCAGGGGACGACTTGACTGGTTGCAGCAAGAAGTCCAAAATGTCAAAATGACCCTACTTTTCACTTGATTAATTACCTCACTAAACACTTTCCTAAGTCAATAGTTTCAAGTCTTCTTCAACACAGCGTGATATTCATTTAGTAAAATATGGAAAATTAACAATAAAGCAAAGTATGCTTTATGGCGGGACTACCTTGAGATTGACATGTCACTACCACAGTGACCTGTAAACCACGCAAGAGGAGAGTCGTATTCACCGCAATGTGAACATGTTTTTGGGTGCTGTGTTTTCGTCTAAAGGCCCTTTCAAACACTTTGTGCTGCGCTGGCCGTCAGTGCAGTGGTACAACTAGGTTGAACTTTGACTGCGGCTTGCCAAGCAGTGCACTGCGCTTTGGTTGACACATCAACACACCCGCACTGCACTGGCACGTCACAAGCCATTAAAAATAAAGGGTTTCAAAACGCATCTGTACCGTTGTTGCTTTGTGTCTGAAAGGCCTATAGGAGCTTTGACCCTTTCGCAGTGTGTTTCCAGTTCATGAACGTTAATTGTAACATTTTAGTCAACTAAAAGTTTCTTGTTCAGAGTTTGGTTGTACTAAAAGACAGTCTAAGCCTGTTATTCCCTCCCTCCGTTACCTATAACCTGCCTACGTAACACGTAACATTTGCTGCACGCGGCCGCACGTGAGAGAGGACAACAAACACCGGCAGCTGCTCCGCCATTCATCATAAACTTTGGCTTTAAAACTTCATAAAACAAGACCCAAACAAAGAAGCGCTGAACGCAAGATAGGTTAGTAACCTGTGGTGAGTAAACATATTTAGCTCAGCATCGGCCATCTAACGTTAGCTTGCTTCTTGCTTTGTTTACTTGCCAAACTTGTGGTGGTCAATTAATGTAATTATTTACGTCCCGCTGGCTGCCATCACCTTAATTATTGCCGTTGGCTAGAAAAAGGTCACAGCTTTATTGTTGACCATGTAACTTTACAGTTTTATTTAGTTATAACTTACACTGGGTTTGAGAGTCAACAGGGTTTGTTGACTTACAGTAGTTTATAAGCTGTCTATAATTGTAGACGCATTGTACATTAGGCTACATGGTTGTGCTCTGTAAGTTAAAAACAGGTTACAGGTTTATTGTTGATTATGCAAGTCACAGTTTTATTTAGTTAACGTTACACTGGGTTTAAGAGTCTGGGGAGTGTGTTGACTTACAGTATTTAATAAGCTGTCATTAATTGCATTTCACATTAAATGGTTGTGCTCTGTAAATGAAAAACAGGTTGCAGTTACAGAATTCCTTATAGCTATGCAGTTTTATTAGCAACCTGGATTGTAATAACAGCATTCGTAATAACCACGAGAGACTTGAGACTTGACTTGGACTCTAGCTCAAAGACTTGTCTAGAAAGACTTGTGAGCATCTCTGGTTCACACTGAGGGTCGACAACAGGTCAGACCAGCCAACTCTTCACATGTGGACGCATGGTCAAGACCCAGCGACAGCAGTTTGTAACGCACTGGGGATCCCTCATGGTGTCATAGTTCAACGAAGTGGGGGAATCCCTGTAGCGTCAGTCTTTGACAGTAAAGGCAGGTATTTGATATTTGACAGAAAAGACTGAGTAAGGACGTGGTTGGGGTGGATGGCGGGCCAGAAGCCCGACTTTGAACCAGGAGGCCGGGGTTCGTGTCCCTTGAGAAACAACATTGAAGTTAGGCAAGTTACGTAAATTGCTTAAGAAGCCCGACTATTTGTCCCTTGATCAACATTCAGTTAGCAAGTTACGTAAATTGCTTAAGTTACGCAAGTGACGTTTGTAACTTATTTCTTAACTGACGTATGTAGTTATTTTAACCCAAGCCATGATGTTTTCCGAACCTTAACCAAGTAGTTTAGTTACCTAAACCCAACAAAGTACTTTTTTTGCTTAAACTAACCAAATTGCAACGTTTCACGACTTTAATAATGTGCTGTTTCGAGATGGCGATGTTTCGAAACACTAATGTTTTAATTTGAAAGTCTAACCAGAGCCTTAAATGTCTAAACTCGATGCTTAAGGGGTACCCGGGGCGTTAAAAAGTGACGCCAATGGGCCTTGACTAAGCATCAATACGTGATGAGTCGGGAGGAGTGCTCTCCTCGCCCTCTCCATATCGTGTTGCTACGTGACACTCCTCTGTCAGTGGAGAGAAACAAGGGAGAAGAGAAGCTCAGGTGACTTTCATGCAGCCGTGTGCTGAATGTAGGTCGGCAATGTCACTTTCTGTGAACCGACCAATCACAGCCTGGATGGGGCGGGCCATTTAAAAATATTGACAGATATGGAATCAGAAAAAGCTCTTGTTAAAAATGTTCTGAAAAACAGCTTGCAACCTTTTTATATACAGTCTATGCTTGCAACAAGAAATGTTAATTAACAAATGAAACAATGCACAATAAGAAAACATGCAATGCAAGTGAAATATAGAAGAAACAAATGTGCATTGTCCAAAAGCTGATTACTGCACTGTACTCCATTATATTTTTATATTTTGAATTGTCACCTGCCACCTTAATTTTGTTTCCCTTCATATAAATTTTATTTATATATATATTTCCACCATAAATTGGTGCAGAAAATGTCTCCAGAATGCAGGAAATTAAGTGTTTGATGCTTAAAGTCTTCTGGGGGAGGACCCCCAGACCTCCTCACTGATGTATGTCAGCATTGAATATTTATAAATTAAAAAAAACAGTTAAAATATCTTCTCATCTTGTTCTTGTGAGTACTGCCACCTATTTTTTCTACTCCAAGCACTGGGAGTGAGAATGGGTTGGACCAGTATGTTTATCCTGGTTTTACTGTAAAAATCCAGTTAGTTTCAGGCTTTGGTGAAAGAAGAATTCACATTCTTTCCTTAAATAGAAATAGGTGTCAAGGTGTCCCTTGAAATCTAAATTGCAGGGATGTTTGTCAGTTTTACAACCTCATAAAACTACATATGGGCTGGAGTGGTTATTAATTAACCAGTAACCACATACAACCTCCCATATCTGTTCAGGAAATGTGTCTGCGTTTGCCTCTCCTGGTTCGGTAAAGCAGGTAAGACTCACTCTTGCAAATTCTGTTAATTCTGTTAAGACTTTAGATGTTTTGTACGTAAATAAAATATGGATTCCTAAAGTGACTAGTAGCAGGTTCATCGACTGTTATATTGGATCATTATGAGACACCTATAAAGTCAGGTTAAGGTAAGTTTTAGGTGAAATTGAGTCACACACACACTGAAAAAACTGATTTAAAGAAAGAAAGTTGTGATTTACTGATAGAATAGCTATTTTAAGCTGCTTGTGATTCTCAGGTTAAAACCTTTAGATTTAAATGAAATAATTTTAGCAAAATTTTAGCAATAAGTCACCTATAACAAATTTTATTGTAGATTGCAAAACATTTAAAGCGATAGTTTGCTTTCTAGGGAATTTGCATTATTTTGCCAACTTACCCAGAAGTTTTAATATGCTAAAGGGATGCATTCAGGATGCAAAGTATTTACTCTGCAATCACTAGAAGCTGTGTTTATGTTGTTGTTTGTTGTTTATTTTAAAAGGTAGGTTCAACATATCCTGAGATGGCCGTCGGCATGAAACAGAGTTGGCGTGGCAACAGCCCTTTCAGAATCCTCAGTGGTGGCGAGCGTAATGTGCTGGCACTGAATGTGCTGTTGCTGGGCGACAGGCAGAGTGGGAGGAGCTCTGTGGGGAATGCTCTGATTGGTCAGTAGCTTTACAGATTTACTTTTAGAGTCGTCACGTTAGCTTTCTGTGGAAGGTCATCAAGAAGAAAAATGTATTTTATGCTCATTTTCAGGTTCATAATTTTATTTAGGGGTTTATAGGATAGGAACAGGTTTACATGGTTGCATTTTCAAAAAAATACCACACTGCACATTGCTGAGGCACCTCTTTTCACCCTGCGTGTTGAAGGATCAGTTTTAGCTACCAAGTGAAGCATCTCACTTCTATTTAATCTTTCACGTGTGCAGTACCTAGGTAGGTAAGGACTACTAGCCAATCAGAAGCAGAGTAGGGGGGTCCTGACAAGCAAGGTGTAATGTGTTCCAAAACAAAGCTATTTCAGCTGGTAACCAGTGATGTGCGATACCACTTAATTCCTATTCGTTCCAATACCAAGTAATACCCAGGCTGGTATGCCAATACGATACCAATACTTTTTACATATTTTATTTCTAGTTTATTTCAAAAATTCATGTGAGACACAAATACACAGAAGTACTAATAGACAGTATAAACACCAGCTTTCACTAACTGTTGATACATGGAGCAGCCTTCTTGGATCACCAAGTCGGGGATAGTGCGGTGCTCCTGACTTTCCGAGTCGCAAATCCAAATTAAGGGGGCGTACAGACAGTTACAATTTACAACTGTGAACTTGTAAATTCCAGCTTCACATATTTAACTTAAATTGTGACTTACTAAAGGTTACGGCAGCATTTAAAACTGAGCTAACACACTAACACTGTGTTATTGAATGAAATGAACAATCCTGAGAACAAATGTCAGAGGGACGTAAACAGTACCTGCTAGCCTGTTAGCCCTTACAGTTAGCCAGCTAGACCTGTGAGTACTCCTAAGGTCAAAAACTAAAAATTAGATTCTCCATAATTTAAAAAATAGATTTATTCTCTCGTTATTTTGACCTACAATTTTTCTTTTCATAGGTGTTTTTCTTTTAGCTGGTGGAAATGATCCTGTTTAACTTTCAGGTAAAAAAAATAATCCACAATTAAAATTATTTATTGATAAATTCCTCTGCTGGGCAGGTGGAGAGGAATTCCAAACAGGCCTCTGCATTTCTGGCCTTTCTGTAACGAAGGATTCCAGTCCTCAGCCGAAATTTCCAGAAGTATTTCAGAAGGCAGGGGCGGAGTCTGACCTCATGCTGAGAGTGATTGACACGCCGCCTCTGTTGCCCCGCCCACAGGACGTGCACAAACTCTGCCCCGAGGGCGTGCACGTGCTTGTGCTGGTTGTGAGAGCTGACCTGCCGCACGGCACCAAACACCTGGAGGATCACATGGAGGTACACACACACACACACCTCCACAATGTAATGTGTGTGTTTGTTTGGGTGATTTGTGTATTTTGTGTTGATGTTCAGACTCTCTTCGGTCCAGAATGGCGGCGTCACGCTTTACTTGTTCTCACGCACGCTGACCACCTGAAGGAGGCGGGGCTTCGCGCTCCAGTCTTCCTAACACAGACTAGTGATTGGCTGAGAGCTCTGGCTGAAGATGTGGAAGGAGGAGTCTCGTTCTTGGACAATACCTGTGATTGGCCGTCAATCAGAGGACGACCGTTGAGAGACCGACTGCTCGGCCTGTCAGCCAGGAACCATCACAGAGCTCTGACAGTCAGAACAGAGGTCTCACTCTGACTGTTTAAACAGGAACTACACACATTTGTTTTGCTCATGTTGGTATTTAATGATTATTCCTACAAAACTCAAACAATATGAAAAGCACAACTCTGTCCAACTGTCTCACACATGTAGCTTCTGGTTGCTTCAGCATTAGCAAACCTGATAAGTGAGCCACCAAAAGACAGTGGCAGTAAACACAACACATAGGGCCGGATTTACTATAACCCCGAATAAACAGTACTAAATTGCGATTGCATTCTCAAATATTGCACATGTAATTTTAGTACCTGTTATGGGTGATTAACTAAGAATTATTGTGTAGATGACAACAGGAGCGAACACAATGGAGGTGGCACTAGTTAAATTAGGGTTTTGCGTGTTTTAATGGTTTCCGCCGTAGAGAGTCGGGAGTAAAAGCAGCCACTGCATAAAAACTTGGTTTGTTTCATTCAGTGCGTCCCGAGTATGTGGAAATCGTATGTACCTGCCCATCCTGCCTGAGATTGCACTAAGTACTACTTGGAGCAGCACACCTGAAAAACTGCTTTGGGAAATCCCAGCAGAAACAGCTACAGTACGCTGGAATGACCCAGATGCGAGGAAATGCCAGCAGATTGAGCTTCATCCATCCAGAGGGAACAATCACAGACCGTCCGCACCATGCCCGGTCGCTCCGCAATCTCCTCTCCCTGTACACCTCGACGCCCCGTTCCCTCTCTGATACCGACGATGGGTTGTGTTGCTATTATGAACACCGTGCTGTGAACAGTTGGTGATTGTTCCCTCTGGCTGGATGAATTTTACGCGTGATCCATGCACTACTGCAGCTGGGGGCTCTCTGCAGCACCACGCAACTTTCTAAATTCTTCCATCTCACTGAGAAAAGAAGTCAGGTCGAAACGAAATTTGCTTCATTGGCATGAATGTTAATACAACAGTATTGCCAAAGCTAAAGGAAAATACAATTCAATTCATATTTCATCGATTAAGTAAAATAAAATAATTTTATTTCTATATATTGGACACAGAAGAATATAATCTAAGATTTTAAATTTCTCTACTTTTTTCTTTCATTACGGCTGTGTCAAAAAAGGCCACACAACAGAAAAACATACCTGTCAGAATCTACCTGTTAAGGATCTATTGACAGAAATGCAATGTAACTATGTTTTTAGTGCAGTATAAAGACCTTACATAATGAACCGATATGTTTTAAGTACCTTAAAATGAGTCATTTATATCTACATACACTGTTGCACCACCATGTTTCTACAGTATCCCAAACAGACAAACTGCTCTACAGATAGTGTTTCATCACTATGTTGAATACATACAAAGACGAAGGAAGAAGTAGTAGTAATAGTAGTAGTAGTAGTCGACTGGTTTATTAGAAGTAGGAAGAAAAGTGAAATTTGGACAAATGGAGGACCAGACGTATTATTTAGCACAAATTAATGTGTTATTTGTCATGGAGCAATAAAAATACAATATTGCAAGACCAAAATATCTTAATAATCTTTTCTTTCGCTTGCGTTGATAACTGGTGAGAAATTTATTTCCCTTTAATTTTGTGATCACACAGGCTGCGTTTGGACTGCAGGCCTTAATGTGGCCCATATCAGACTTCATTGTGAACTGTCCGCGGCCTGAAAGTGACCCGCATGCGCAGACAATAAATCTCGGTGTCACACGCGGCACCGTGTTGCAGGCTACAGAAGTAATCAGGGGGCAACAGAGGTTAGCTCCGGTTAGCTTGTCCTCTCCGAACTGGAAAAGATCTGATTCCATGTGACTTGGAAGATCAGATCTGAGTCACATATGAGCAAAGAAATCGGATTTGGGTCACTTTGGGCTGCAGTCTGAACGTAGCCTAATTGTGCCACATGAGCTCAGTCTGTGGGGGCTTGGCTTGGTAACCGGAGAGTCACAGATTCAAGTCCAGCACGGATCACTGCCAAAGGTGCCCCTGAGCAATGCCATGAACTAGGGCTGTACATAACGATTATTTTTAAAATCGATTAATATAACGATTATTTTTTTGATTAGTCGATAAATCTCACAACACATTTTGTGTATTCTAAAGAAAAACAAAAATTGCAGATTAAAGTACCAATTTATCCAAAATAAATATCAGAGCATGTCTAATCAATAATATTCCACGTCACTGATGTGTTGTGATAATAACAATAACAGACATTAATTAGGCTTCTTTACTTAAAACTTTAAATGTTACTGACATGGACTTATTTCAATATTGAGTAATGCGGTATGATAGTCAGATGTATTTCTGCATCAGTGTGGTTTCTCGCTCATACGTGGCCATTGAAAAACAGAAAAATATGAAACGGCTGAACGTTAGATGACACGTGTAACATGTAACGTTACGTTACCATGACAGCAGCGGGGCAGAAATTACTTTTAACATGAAGGAGATAAATACATTTTAACGGACTACGTGTGCTCGTGCTGATAATGTGCCGTGCTTGTGTGGAGACAGGAGAAGCAGGATTTGCGGCGCTGCCGTCTGAACAAAGTGGTCCAGGATACTTTCGCTTCACGTATTCGTGGACATCCAGCCTGTTCTCATGCTCAGGCGTCACATATGCACGCTTTGGAAAAACCGTGTCTATTGTGCGCAAAATGGCGAATTTGCGTGTATAGTAGACACCCCCAGGTGCGTGATGCATGAAGTCGAGATCTTGTATCTGCAGCTTGTCCGGGGGAATCCCTGCTAACATCGGAGGCAGCAACATTTCAACGCACGGAATGCGAATCGATGTATTCACGTAATCGATTACGTATTGATTCATTATTAATTGTTCCAGTGCTGAAGGATCAGGCTTATCAAACTATTATTTGGTATTGACACCTATTTAAAGGATCTATCACCATTTAATTAGTAATCACAAGATTCATAAATACCATGTCATCACAGATTGTTTTCTGCTGTCCAATCAGCTGAAAGCAGAGATCAAGAACTCGAAGAAACGTATGATCAACTGAGCTTTTAATCAATAAACAACAGCGATGCAACTGTAAGATAACAACTACTAACTAGCTAAGTGATGGTCAGCAGCTTTTTGTGGTTGCTTAGCCACAGCAGAGCATGATTTTCACAATAAAAGTACACTGGTGCACATTATGTCTTCGGCATGTCCTGTGCGATGGCCCCTCGCTGTGTCTATCTGATGGTGCAGTTGGTGAGGGAGGGGGCCTGCACAGCCCCTTCCCCTTCACCTCAAACCCGCAGCCTTTATAGTTCGCCACGCCCGGCTGTCGACCTGCAGGTCGGGCTGAAGGAGCTCCCAAACCCTCTGCTGGACTGCAGCTCTCTGTCCGGGTCACCTGAACACACGAGAGCGAGATAAACAGAGAGTTGGTGAGTGATTACCCGGAAAATCCCAAAAGCCACTTTCATCCAGTTGTAGGTGACATCTGAGTCGTCCAACACGTCCTCCTACCTAAACAACACAGGTCGATCGTCAAGTGTTCCAAAACGACCATACAAGAGTTTTTCCTGTGTCAGTCCAGCGACAGGCTTATCGGACCTTAATGTGTACGTAAGTACCTAAGTCACGTGAAGTTTAACAAGTGGAAAACATTGAAAAAAGGTTGGTTAGGTTTAGGCAACAAAACCACTTCATTGGGTTAGGAAAATATTGTGGTCCAGGTTAAAGTAAGGAAAGTATGTAAGTCTCGTGACGGACGTGACAGAAATCAGTAATGCTATACTTAGAACTCAAAATAACTAAACATTTACTTGGTTTCACTGGGAACTTGAACGCATTTCTCCTGTGTGAAAGTCCCAGGTTTGACCCATTCACCTTCACATCCTACCTCCTTACAGGGACTTTATTTAAAAACACTTTATCTGAATTCCTCTTTTGCTCCCGTCATACAGCCACTAGTGGTTGCTTGGTCAAGGCCCTTTGGCATTGCCTTTTAACCAGTAAAACATTGCCTGTTTTACTGGTGAGGATGGATGAAGCCGTCATCTTCCTGAAAAAGGAGACGTTGCGAGTGTACAGAAATAACAGCTTCCATGTTTCATTGATTGACGTGACAAATGATAACATGAACCCCTTGACTTAAAACAAACCAGATAGATACAGTCACTACTGGTTAAGGCAAAATAACCGTAAGTTAGCTTGACTAGCTGTTGTGACTGGTTAACAGTTAGATAACGTGTTATTAGCTTGCTAACAACGCATTACCATGTAAGCTAACATTTCTACAGTGTGAGAGCAAATGAATGTGCCACTTTTATTTGATTAGGCACTAATAATCGGGGGACCATTTGAATTCCAAGACACAAAAAAAATTTGCTATTGCTGTTAGCTTAATAATCATTAAACTTATTTTTTTATGTTGTTTAATTTATTCACGATCTTCAGTGATTATTTTTATTGTTATTGTTATTATCTTTGTGACCATGATTACGGGGTAGTTGAGGAAGGTAACTCTGTCTCCGGGGGTGGAGCCTGTGGGCGGTTACCAGCAGCTCAGTGCTGTCATCAGGGGCGGAGCAACATAGGAGGCGGGCCTGAGAGACCACGCCCTTCAGCTTACAGGCCTTGACATTGCATAACAAGACAGCTAGACCGCCTGGAGCTGCGAAGAGAGAGAGGTGAAATACTTTTGTTAAAATTTAATAAAGACAAAAGAAAGAAGGAATGAGATAAAGGGTGGATTAAACTGAAAGGAAAGATAAACAGAAATTAGAAAAACAAGAATTCAAAGAAGAAATTTCAGTAGGAAAAAACAGAGAATTTTAAATATATAATATTATATATATATATAGAGAGAGAATAAAGTTGTAATATTTCATGATAATGTCTTAATATGTCAACATTAACATTGTAAAAACTGGAAAACAAAGTCAGAATATTTAAGAACCAAAGTCGTAATATGATGAGAAATAAAAGTAGGCTAATGTCTCAAGAATATGGTTGTACTACTGTGAGAACAAAGAGCAAATGAAAGATAAAGGCTGAAATGTTTAGAGTAGTTTGGAATAAACTCGCACTAATGTGAGAATAGAGTTGTAATATTTCAACAATAAGAATATAGTTTTGAGTATAAAGTAATATTAAATAATCAAATCTGACAACAGTCTTAATCGATCAACTTTATTTTAGACGCATAGGTCCATATCAGTAAAAGACAATAAATACATATAAAGACAATACAAGATACCAGTACAAAAGCTACAACACATATCATAACACATAACACATGTAGACATTTGTTCCAATGTTTCCAAAAACACGAGGAATACCTTGTATCACTTTTTATAGGTTCAGTTAAAGCTAAAATGACCAAATGTTTTGAATTAATCAGCGACACATAAATTTATGCATAAGATTCTGCAATACAGCGCAAAGACCGGGAACATTACTTGTCACAAACATATGACTTGCACTTGTCCATTGGGAACTTAAGCAGGATTCTAAATTAATACTTCAAAGTACAGATTGAATTACTAAAATAAGTTGCAATATTTAGACTAAATGTCGAAATAAATAAACTTTATTTTGACACAAAAATAAATAAGAAATAAAAGTGTAACGTTATAAAAATAAAGTCGTGCGTTACCTCCTCTAGGTCTGTTTTCTCTCCCAGTTTGCTGACGACAGTTCGGGCGGCGCGCTTCCCCTACGTCCACTTCCTGGACAGACAGCTCCTCGGCCAGTGGGTGGTGGCGGACGCCGAGGATCCGTCCAACCCGCAGGTCCAGTCGTGACACGTCAACCTGAGGCTCCACCCCCAAGGAGAGCAAGTCACAGGTGGGACGAGCTAAGAGAGAGAGAGGTAAAGTCATTTTTCTATCTGCCCTCCACCCTCCTTCCTTCCTTTCCTCATCTCACTTTCCTCTCTCCCTCTTCCTCTGCTCTGCCTCTCTCTCCGGTCATGTGAGAAGGAAGAGGAGGGGGGAGGAGGATTGTTGGAACAGCAGCTGATGCTCCAGCGGTGGAGGGAGGTTGCGTTGTGGGGGCGGGGCTACGGGTTGGAGAAGGCGGGGAGAACAAAGCCTGGCTGAAAGAAAAAAAAAAGAGAGAAGATTTTTTTAAACTGAAAGCAAAAAAAATGCATGAATTTAAATTAATGTGGCTGTTTTTATCTTTTGGGTAAATCTCCAAAATGTTTTGACTTATAAAGTTCTTATTAAATTAAATAATCCACTCTGACACAGTCGACATTGATGCAGCTCAGAGGAGAAAAACATCTGCAGTTGCCAAGTGTGGCAGTGAGTGTCTGTTTCTATCTT